AAGTAATGAGCACTTGAGCCCCGCCCCCAGCAGCCCTCAGGCTGGAGCACCTGGAGCAGTCTTGGGAGGCGGATTGGCTAAAAGCAAAACCAAAAGCGCAGGAACTCGAGAGAACTCCAGGAATGGAGCTGGTTCCTCTTCCACATCTGGTTCCCAAAATGCGACCCACGAACCCTGAGGTTGCTTTTTCTCATTTGCGAGTCTGGCCTCCACACTCCTTTAACGAGGCAGCCCTGAAGCTTGGGGCGGCGGGAGTTTCTTTGCACGCAGCTTGTGCGGCTGGCTGAGTGCCTCTTCTGCTTGCCCACCTCTCGCCTCTGCACCTCATCTTCTGCCAGGCATGGAGGAGCCCAGCTCGCCCAGGCTTCTTGCCTCCTGCTGCCTTGGCCCTCTGGTGCATGGGTGAGTCCCCAAAGTTTGACTCTTCCTCTACAAGTCTCTGGCGCTGGAGGTATTCGCCTCCTTCCCTCCTGCCTGCTATGGCTGCATAATTGTGAGAGATTTCTTAACATAGCGTTCCTGCCAGGGAAGCTGGGGACCCTGCCCATGAGTCTCCATTTCATCCTCACAAGAACCCTGTGGGGTAGGTTAGGTAGAGAAGGGGAAATTTGGCCCGGGGTCACTCAGCCAGCAGAGTGAGAATACAAACCTGGGTCTCCCCACATCAATCTGCAACTCTGATTACTGTGCGAACTTAGGCAAATCACGAGAGGTAGAGCAGGAAGGGTTGCATCAGTGCTTAGTTCTTGTGGCTCTTTCTTACACGCCCAGGGAAATGCTGATCGCCACTTTGGGGCCAGGAAGCAATTTTTCTCCAGGCCAGTTTGGCCCCCAGTGATCCTGGAGGGTTTTTTTTATCCTGCATTTTTTATCCTGAATTTCCTGCATAGTGCAGGGGGTTGGACTAGATGACCCTGGAGGTCCCTTCCCACTCTATGAGTCTATGATTCTATAATTCACCCAGGCTGGCTGTGGGCACGCCAGCACCTCTGTCAGGCAGAAGCGCCTGAGATCCTCCCCCTCCCCTTTTCCTTCGCCCGACTTGGAGGCAAAGGGAAGGGAGAGGGGGGAAAGAATGGATCCCAGGTGCTTCTACCTGTCATAGCGGCTGGTGCACACTTCTAGTGATGTCAGGGGGTGTGGCATATGCTAATAAGTTATGCTAATGAGCTCCTGCAGCTCTTTTTCTATGAAATGACCCCTGAGTGTAAGGATATGTTGCTGGCAACCAAGATCAAGTTAATTCATGCCAGAGTATTCCCCATTACTATGTATGGGTGTGAAAGTTGGACAATGAAGAAAGCTGACAGGAAGAAAGTTGATTGATTTGAAATTTGGTGCTGGAGAACAGTTTTACAGATACTGTGGACTGCCAAAAAAGAAGTGTGTTCTAGATTGAATCAAGCCAGAACTTTCCCTAGAAGCAAAAATGGCTAAAATGAGGATATTGTACTTTGGTCACGATATGTAAAGACAAAAAGATGATAATGCTGGGAAAAATTGAAGGCAGGAGGAAAAGAAGAAGATCCAATATGAGACACATTGACTCTATAAAGGAAGCCATTGCCTTCAGTTTGCAAGACCTACGCAAGGTTGTTAACGTTAGAATGTTTTGGAGGACATTAATTCATAGGGTCACCATAAGTTGGACTTGACAGCATTTAAAGGCACACAACAGGCAAATTACAACCACACAGCACAACACAATGTATGATATAGTTCATTTGGGGGTTGTGCCACAGTCTGAGCATCAGACCCATTCTCAATCAGTAAGGATCAACCATTACCTGTAGGTATACACTGCTTCCCATCTTCATTTAGTGTATAACCCAAAGCACAGGAGCAGGTCACATGAAGAGACCGTTCATTATCTTGGCAGTATTGCCCACAGGCGCCATTCTTGTGCCAGCATTCTGACTTCTCTACATAACAAGAACACCTTTTAACAAGTCATTAGTTGGAACACAGCCACTCACCACTGTTGGCTTTTCAAGGCCAACTTCATATCACAACTCAGGACTATTATACATTTATTTGTTCTATTCATTAAAAACATTTATTAGCTGCCTTTCTCCCTTGTGGAACTCAAGGTGGCTTACAAAGCCTGAAGCTGCCTTATACTGAGTCAGATCTTTGGTCTATCAGGGCTGCTCCGACTAGCAGCAGCTCTATGAGGTCGCAGGTAGAGGTCTTTCACAAAACGTAGCACCTGACCTTAGAATCATAGAATCGTAGAGTTGGAAGGGACCTCCAGGGTCATCTAGTCCAACACCCTGCACAGTACAGGAAATTCACAGATACCTCCCCCCCCCAATACCCCCAGTGACTCCTGTTCCATGCCCATGTCTAACTAGAATGCCAGGGAGTGAAACTTGGGCCTTCAGCAAACAAATCAGATGATCTACCTCTGAGCAGTAGTGAAGAAGAGTGGTAGTTTTTTTCAATGAATGCATGAGAGTATCAGAGTCATAGCCCCTGACTGAGCCCGCCATGCATGCAGTACCCATGTGAATAGGTGGGGCCCTAGAAATTCACTGTATGAACATAGGTCCCTTGACCACACAAGCTCCATTGACAAATTACAGTGAATGTACACTGTTCACTTTATTTTTCTTCATATGTACTCTGAATAATCATCATGTTATGTTCAACACATGAATGTGTGATTTAAACCCCACATCTGTTCAGGTACTGGTCTCTAGTTTCATTCATAAAGTGAACGTGAGTTGGCTCTTACATACAAACAGATGTATGTGAGTTCACTGTAACATTTCAGCAGGGATATGGAGATTTACACTGGGGACAGCAGTTGTGATCCCAGCTCCCCATACATGATGCATCAGTGTGTAGCCTGAAAGGTGCTACTGTGTCACTAGTTTGTGTAGGTAATGTGTAACTGAAGAGTCCCTTAATATTATTTATTATTTCATTTATACGCCTCTTTTCTCCCCAATGGGAGAAAAGCTGTTTACATTCTTCTCCTCGCCTTCATTTAGGCTGAGAATGTGCTACTGGCCTAAAATTACCCAGCAAGCTTCCATGGCAGAGTGGGGATTCAAACCTGGGTGTCCCAGATCTTAGTCCAACATTCTAACCACTGGTTCTTATTCCTTTAGCTGAGAAAAGGGAATAGGTTTGTGTGTGTGTGTATCAACAACAGTTTGGAACTATGGGAGACAGAGAGAGACGTGGGATTGCTAAAGGTGAAACCCATTTGGATGCAGGGTCTCATCTACTAGGGTAATGGATCTGCTGCCTTGTAAGAATGCCTCCTTTGCTTCTACCATTGCTTTGCTTGCATTATCTCTCCTATATTATAATCCTGTTTTGGGGTGGCAAGATTCTATGCTTGCCCTCAGCCATTGGCCCGTCAGCCGCCACTCAAGAGTACTCGCGTGCCATTGGCCGGGTGCTGGGTCTGTACCTCTTCCCCACCTACTTCTCCTTCAGCCACTGTGCCCTGTCAGAATTACTGGCAAACGGCTTTCTCTTTTGATGAAGACGCTTCTCCTGTGTGGGACTAACTGTTCCCTCAGTGGCTGTTGGTAGGTGTCACGAAATGGCAGTTAGCATACCGAATCTGCTTCAAAGTGCTGGTTCTTACCTTTAAAGCCCTATATGGCCAGGTCCAACATACCTACGGGACTGCACTACGGTCTGGGTCTCAAAATTAGTTGACCCTCCCTGGCCCGAGGGAGGCCAGGCTAGCTGCTACAAGGGCTGAGGCCTTTTTGGTGGCAGCCCCTACCTGGTGGAATGAGCTCCCGGAGGAGATCAGGGCCCTGTGGGACCTCTCACAGTTTCGCAGGGCCTGCAAGACGAAGCTCTTCCGCCAGGCATACAATTAGGGGCTGCCGCACTAGTGCACAGCCTGTAATGTTAACATCGAGCAGCTGCCTTAAGAACGATCAGAATAACACACTTTATGTGGAATAACATCAAAGCACATCAGGAGAAACTTCCTAACTGTAAGAGTGGTTGAACAGTGGAACAGTCTGCCTCGGGAGGTGGTGGATGCTCCTTCGCTGAACGTTTTCAAGCGGAGGCTGGACAACCATCTTTCGGGTATGTTGTAGGTATGTAGGACTATCTTTCAGTATACTCCTGCAGAGTGCAGGGGGTTGGACTAGATGACCTGCAAGGTCCCTTCCAACTCTAACATTCTATGATTTGTTGGAAAGCACTTTATTTGTTTGATTTTTAACTGCCGCCAGTATTCTGATATTTTGTAATGTTCTAATTTAAATGCTGTGTTTTAATTCTATATTATTTATGTTTTTATTCTGTACTGTTGTGTTTGTTGTTGGAAACTGCCCTGAGCCTGCTTTGCAGGGAGGGCGGGGTATAAATTTGACTATAAATAAATAAATAAAATAAATACCTGTGTTTGTAAGATGGCTGTGGTTATTTGTTTAAAATGTTCCCCCCGTAAGGCTTAATTGAGCTGTAGTTCCAGAGAGGGGCCTGCAGGGGTATCACTCACTGGGTTGAATCGGGCTTCCTCATCTGCTGGCCTACAGTTCCCAGCTGCCCCAAGGCCAAAAAGTGCAGGAAAACAGGGACTGTCCCTGGGAGGCAGCAGAAATTCAGCCACTCCACAGTCGGCTGGACTGGGGAATGAATGGAAGTTTCCCTACTCTCTTGGGCAAGAGAGAGAGGCTGAAGTACAGGTGAGCCCACAACCTCCAGAGCTAGAGAGTAGTCTGTGTAGGGA